AACACAGAATAGTAATCTTGAAACCAATGTCCTATGAATTCTTGTGCACGGGATCGTTTAAATAAATAAATAGTGATTACACAATGTGACCTATCATTTTAGTACGGAGTATTAAAAGTCACACCAAAAGAAAAATGATGGATGTGCGGAATTTGCAAACACAACTGCACGGCGACCTCGATTCAAGAATACAAAATACACGAACAGAACGAAATACAAACTCCCCCAATCGAAGCAAAATACAATGGAAGTGTTTCTGTAAGGTTTCTTGGCAAAAGGGTATTTAGCTATGTATAACTGGCAAAAACAAGGGATAGAAATTGACCTAAAATGTTCGCGAGAACTTTTTGACCTCATACATGATTGAAGATATGGAAACGAGGTCCTTATTCAACGCAGTGCCGCCAGAAATCCGCTTCATGGAGTCCGAAAGCCTGGTGTAATAAAGGAGCAGCTGTGTTAAAGCTGCTCTTAGTATGTCCATCCCGCAAAGGAAGTTACTGAAAGAAGTGATCACGTCATTGTGCATCAGCTCTATTGCACTCTTCCACCGGCTTGCAAAGTCTTTAACTATAGGTTCAACTTCAGACGCCATTACAGGTGGCCTTTCAGATCCAGAACTTGGGTCCTCCGCTGAGAGATAAATTTAGCAAGCATGAGTAATTTTGAAGTAATTCAAAAGGATATGAGTTTATTTTTAAAATGATCCTTACATGCTCTTGACTTTACAAACTTAATAAGATCACTGAAGTGCTCCAGCAGTAGCTCTTCCTGCAAGGAAAATAATAGTTTTAACATTTGGAGGGCAATAACCATAATGCTGGATTTTGAAAATTCAGATTTTAAGAACACACATGCAGTGAAAGATTCAAATAAAAATCTCATTAAAAATGATAATAAATCCAAAACCTTCATAGTTTCAAATGTATATTGGTCATATCATTTTTTCATATAAAAAATTGGCATGATCATAAACAGGTGGAACTTAAAAGTGCAACCCTTACCGATACAAAAAGTATTGTTCGGAACATACAAATGCATTTGTGTATACAAGAAACATCGACTGGCTTCTCATGTATGCACTGTTTGTTTCATAATTAGTATAGAGCAATGCACTTTAGTGTCACTAAGTTTTCATTAAAAGGTCTCCATATTTTCTAGTATGCCACCACATTTTTGCTTTGAAAAAATGATCTAATCCTTCCATTTTTCAGTTCAATGGCCAAGATTAGTTCACTTTTTCTTAATTACCTAGAAGTACTTTTTATTTAAACAAAATTACATGCAAATTCGCTTGTGCATTGGGTATCCTCCAGACCTCCACTTAGAGACTTTTCCAAACCAGTCACTAGTCAGAATCTAAGGATTTATATTCAGAAATTGAGAACTACTTATTTGAGTTGCATATTGTATGACCAATTCAGCTAATGCAAGCTGTTAAATGTTTGGTTTTGCATTGAATAAAGAAAAGACATGCAAGCTGGGCTAACTTGGTAAGGGTATTTTGCTCAAACAGACAAATCTAAAAATGACTCGGCTGAAGGTATAGTTTAAGAAGGAACCTTAAAGTGTTGGAGCTCAATGAGCATAAGGGGCGTGATAGAAAAGACCGGAAAAGCGGGATTTGGATGGATATGGGACCAAGGCTTGGTGGTGGTTCTTTCTTGTTTGTTGTAAAAATGTTTGTAAGCATCCATTTCAGCTACATAAATTTAAAGCTCGGCTTATTCCGTAAAAAAGCAAACTATGAAATAGCAACTGCCTATTAAAATGGAGCCATGTTATGATCTTCATACTACCAAGGGTACCTGGTAAAAGAATGAAAGGTTGCAAGGTTGGGGATGTGGCAATATTGGATTGTGTAGACTTCTGACACTCAATAAGGCACCACAGGCACAATCGAGGCAGTTTACGAGTAAAACATGCTTGACGCTCGTTTCTACCAAACACACTACCGGTAAAGTGCCATTAAGTAGCAACATGAAAATGCAAGCAAATGTCTCCATGTACAAACAGTACATTGTGTTGAAGTAACAAGTGTATATATATATATATATATATATATATATATATATATATATATATATATATATATATATATATATATATGATGTCATAAAAAATTGGCTCGAATGTAGAATGTGAGTGAAATATGCATAGATAAAGTGATTTCAGTTCTAATGGCAGATGCAAAATATGTTGTATCATTTCTGACTTTCTGAGTTACGCTCGGCTCCTCCATTTCTTGTGAGAACCATCACTTTAACGCAAAACATTACTAATATTACTCCAGTATCCTAGATGAAGTGGTGTACTTATTTTCAGGTTAATAACATACAATAGTTCACGATATTCTTACCACAAATATAGAAGTATTGTTCTTCAGTAAATCCTCAAAATGCTGCTGAATTTTGCCACCTTCTGGACCGGCTTCCTGGAATGGAATGATTTATAGTAAATGCATTAGTTTTAGGATGGGTTCAGTAAATTACGCTACTTGCAAAATATGATATAACATTCAGTTTGAAGAGAACTTATTGTATCACTCATAAAACTAGCTAAACAGCCATACCAATCACCACAAAAGCGAAGCGTATTATACACAACACAATAATTACTCCTAGTGAGACTTTGAAACTTATACAAAAAGAAATCTTACTACCATGGAATCCACCAGATAATGAATTTTTGAAATGCTGAGGGAAATCATATATGTCCATTGCCAATGGAGCCGACAGCCAAGAGACATTTGTTCTAATGATTTAGCTTTGGGTAAATACTAAATAATGTACTAAATTAAAAGAGAGCACATTGTCAAGAGTTTGCACATTGTCAAGAGTTTGTTTGATCCAAGATAGAGAAGGAATAAAAATGAATACTGAGTTGCTTAGCATTTCACTATAAAAAGAATGTGGCAACATTTCAAAGAAATTGTTTGAAGCCTTACCTTTAAGACAGATATTGTCATGTCGTAGTTATTTATAAGAAACACTGTCTGCAGCTTTTGTTTAGGGAACATCTTAGCAAGCTTAACAAGCAAGTCATCAACAGCCATTCTAAGCCTCTCCATATTAAGTTCAATCTACCAATATTAGCACACAATACAATTTCTTTCAGATCAAACTAACGAAGAAGCAATCACAAATCTTGAAGATTCTGGAGTGTTATCACCAACCTGGCCGTCTCTGTATTCACCATTAAGATGAATAAGTGATGCAGTAAATTCTGCATACCGTCTCATGACATAATGTGGATGAACGTCATCCTCCCAGAGAATTCTGATATTAGCATTCCTCAAGCTGCTGAGGTGCAAGTCAAATACAATCTTGAAACGAGGCCATAATGCAATATTGACCTGTTCATAATAATTAAAAACACCTAAAAGTTTCAGATTTGAAAAGTTTAGCTTGTACAGAAAATGAGATTGGGACGATCATAGCTATACATTCCGCTAACATAGGTTTCATGAAGTACAATAAATACTATATAAAGAAATGACCTACACATTTAAAATATACTCATCAAGATATATGTTACATTAGAGTACTTGATAAAATTCTCAATAAAGAGCAAATTTTATTGTTGTAGTGGAATAAACACACCGTGATTTTCCTTTTCCTGAAGACCCATCAAGTAAAAATGTAAAACAGTTAAATGGTGAGTTGTGACACCAAAAGCTTCAATGTTTCATGAGACCACAATTTAAATAAGCCAATGATGAAATCAAGATATAAATGAAAAAAAACTGACTGTATTCTAGGGTCTAGGCCAAACAAATAAATGTAGGTTAACTATTAAAAGTTAGGCTGGAAAAAAATTGTACATGGCCAAGGTAGAAAGTGATGCTTACAAAAACAAAAATGAAAATAATACAGAACAAACTAAAAAGGGCAGTGAGATCGAAAGAGACACCACAGGGAGAAGTACAGTAGAAAATAACTAATAATATGCTAGATTGATTGTGCAATATAATTCATAAAAATCCAAAAAAGAAACAGTAGAATTTTCCAGGTGATGTGGCAAGTTGCATTAGGGGTGTGCTCTTAGTCTATTTACTATGGTGATAGACAAATTGATGCACCATATCCACAAGAGATCCCTGTGTGCTTGCATTTTGCAAATGATACTTTATTGATTGACAGGACACATGAGGACATTAAGGAAAGATTGGAGGTCTGGAGGCAAACCGGGGAGTCTAGATGCTTCAGGTTGCGCAAAAGTGAATGGCGTACATGTAATGCAATTTCAACTCTGTACACACAGAGTCAATGGTGTAGGTGAAGATGGATATCAAACCTGTCCCCATAATGGCTAGTTTTTGGTACGTTAGGTAGATCATACAACTAAAGAACTTAATGGAGAGATTAGAGACTGACATGGATGTCACCCATCGTGTGGGGCAAGATGGATGAAATGCGGGGGGGGGGGGGGGGGG